GATTTCACAGAATCTTTAACACCATCTCATTTCATTCAGGAAAGCAATATCATCACATAGCCTAAATATTTACTACAACTTTAACGGAAATCTTTTCTGGAATGTTTTTTTCCCAAAAAATCAATGAAACATATTGACTGTACTTCATAATTGTTTCTTTTTAATAGACAGAAATCCAGCTGTAAGGAATTAGAAACTATCCTATAAAAAATAAAAGTGTTCCTATAGGAAGACAAATAGTCACCAGTATACAATATTCTCTATGGAGAATATAGCAATGAACTGACCTAGATATTGATGCATTTTGCTGACACAGACAACTTCTGCAGTACAATACTACAGGATCCCAAACATTCCATTAAAATTCTTGCACATTACACATAAAGAAAGAAAAGATAAATCAAACACAGTATCAGCAGTCTGAAGAGTAACAAATGGGACTGCAAGGTTATGTGAGTTTTCTTTTTTCTGTTTTTAAATAAAATTACCATACTGCAAAATACCATACTTACAAAATATCGGTATTCTTCAGGCACATGGACTTCTTACCTTTTTAATTAATACTTTCAGGAAGTTTCCTAAGGTTGGGATAAAACTAATCATAGCTATCCTCATGGTTTCCCAGACAAACACCTGTGAGACACTGGATTATTATACTAGTTATTGGCCCAGACCAACTCAAGAGAGGGGAGAAGGGTCAGTTTGAATTTCATAGAGGTGACTGTGCTGCCCTGTCCCACACTCCAGCCCCTTGGAGCCTCCTTGGGCAGTCCCAGAGCAGCTGTCAGTCACTGCACACCAGGAGCAGTGCCCCACACCACAGCCTCGAGCCCCTGACCCAGCCCTGGACTGGCTGTCAAAACAAATAAAACAGCAACATGTGCTCTCCATGCTGTTCTGGACTCCTGTAGCTGGATCTATGCTGGATCTGGGGGTGGTAGCTATAATTCTCTTTTTCTCTCTCTTTTCTTCTTCTTCTAATCTCCTTTCTTGATATTCTGGGTAACTTAGAACTGGAATTTTGCTAAGTTGTATGGGTTAGCATGTGCTAAGTCAATGCTTTGTGGATTGCTTTACTTCGATTGGATGTTACCCTTTAAACTTTTCCCAAGTTCTCTCATTTTCTAAAGTTTACCAGTATAAGTACCTCCTCAGAAAATGTGGGCAGATTTTTCATTTGCACACTCTCTCTTAAAGCGTTAAAAGGAACCAAGGCTCTTCTAATAAGTTTGGCAGATGAATTGTTGGACCCTTGTACATTTTTAAAGTAAAATCCACTCAGTAAGCTCGTAGCTCAGGCGCTGGGGTCTTACAACACTGTAATCAAGAAACAGAGTACAATTTTAAAAAAACAGACCATAAGTTCTTTTGGTGGGGAGCATGGGAGGGTGGAAGGTACCTTAGACCTTATCTTAAGTATTTATTACATGGACAACAGTCCAATTTTATTTGGATTTTTCTTTTTTTCCCTGAGGAAATCCAACCTCAAGAGTCCTCACCTATTGCCCTAAAATGGTGTGGGTGCTTTTTTTGCTCTAGTTGCCTCAGAAGCTGCCAACACTACCTTCTGAAGCTGTTGGGGTGATTACTACAGTGCAGCATAATCCTGGTATTTCCTTGTGCATCCTGTAACGTGCTCTGTGCCTTCTCCCTAGTGGCTGGTGCCTGTGAAACACTGAAACACAGTCTCAAACTTGAATGTCCTCATAATAATTTTCTGGCAAGGAAGTTGCCAGCTGATAGAAGGGCCTTTGTGGAAAGCAATCCGGAATGAAAGACCGGCCGCACTGACTGAGAGCATGAATGCTGTGCTAAGGTTTTACTGCTGTTACTTTGGGCTTTCTCCCCTGCCTTTGTTGGTGCTATTAGCAGTTTGAGAAGAGACTTTAAGATTAGTATGAGCCAAGGTAGGTGATATACATGCATTTATTGATGAGTGTGCAGTGATAAACATGCAATTTACGTCTGCATCTGTGCATGCAAAGGAGAAGTCATATAAATTGAAGGTTACTGGGTACTATGAAGGGCAGAGGAGCTGAGTAGAAAGCCAGGCAGTGGAACTAAATAAAAGCATTTTCCATGCACCTTAATTCTCAGCTAGAAAGCTGAAGAAATTCAACTAGTTAAGTTCACAGTGGTCTTCACACATACCACTGCAAGGCAAAAACTTTCTAAGCAGTAACCTCAAATGCCAGGTTTTAAACTTTAACACTTAGTTTACCTAAATTCATTCAGAAAGACTCCATCTGAGGTTGACTCACTAAGTAGAGGTCTGTTGGGTGGTGGTTGTTAGAAATAACAACTTCAGATAGCAGTAACATGGTGGTTCTGTGCCAGTTCTGTCACACAATTTGTCATAAGGGGAGACCTCACTCTCTACAACTGCCTGGAAGGAGCTTGTAGCGAGGGGGGGGTCGGTCTCTTCTCCAAGTTACAAGTGATCAGACAAGAGGAAATGCTCTCAAGTTGCACCAGGGGAGGTTTAGATTACATATTAGGAAACAGTTCCTCACAGAAGGGGTTGTCAAGCATTGCCCAGGTTGCCCAGGGGAAGTGGCTGAGTCACCATCTCTGTCTGGAACTTTTTAAAAGATCTGCAGATATGATGCTGAGGGAATGGTTTATTGATGGCCTTGACAATGCCAGGTTAACAGTTGGACTTGATGATCTTAAAGCTCTTTTCCAATGCAAATTAATTTTATGACTCTGTAATATTTCTTTTGTTTGTCTTGTTCACTCTACTTGTATGGTATAAACAAATACAAGGAAGTTTAATGAAAAATTAGTTCACCACCTTTCCTCTCTTCTTAGACATTTCCACCTTACACTTAAAAAAAAAAAATTCTACTATTAGTACTTCCTAGCATATTCATTCATTTGAGATGAGGAAAAAAGTAAACTTTAATTCCCATTCTTGTGGTAATAAGTGATAAAAAATAAGCAAATAACATTAAGCACTCTGATCATTTGCCAAAGAAGCTGCAGTTCATATTTGACAATGGTATCTAAGATTTCTCTATAGAGAAGCCATTATTGCTCCAGATGCCACTTTGAAGGTTTTAGGCATTTAAATTTAACTGCACACACCAGGCTTTAAATCTTATATATGCACAATACTGCTCCTATGTGCAATAACTGCAGAGCACAAAATTCAGTCTCATAAGATGAAAGTTTTATCCATATGCTAGAGAATTTTGACAAAATAAAACAGTTCAGACTGTATATGCCAAGACTACCTGGCTAAAATTTCAGAATTTTAGAAGCAGTTTTGGAGTGATGAAAAGCAATACAATTACATTAGTTTTAAAAAATTACCTTCTAACTCTGCTGAATTTAAAGATGACCTTAAGTTTACGGTATATTACAATAACACAGATGCATGCTGGAGGCATAAAACATTTAATTTTTTTGTGCTTGGGCCGCTGTACACCAAATAGTAGACCATTTTTTAAAAACTTAAGAAATATGAACCCAGTACACTGACAGGAAGGTACCTGCAGGTAGCACTACCTCAGCTTTGCTCTACACCTGCAGACGAATTTTGCCATTCTCAAAGTACAGCTGAATCAATTCTTTAGCTGCATAACACTGATACCTTTAAAATCCAGGTCAGTTTTACCTGCCATATATAACTTTTGTCTGTTCCATGGTTCTCTCAACTTTCTTTCATTGTACTACCCACAGAAATTTTAAATTATTAAAAGCATAGATTTTAGAGGTTTTAAATTAACTCTATGGTTGCCACCTTATCCATTGGCTATTAAAAACACAACTTTCCTATTAAAAGTGAAGACCAGTCTGAACATGTTAGATGAACGTAGAGATTTTCAATACTTTCACTACTGTTATTATGTGCATACAGAGCTCATGGGGACAAAAATATTCACAGACTTTTGCCTTGTAAGCATATTCCACCTCTTGAGCAATAATAATCCTTAGTGCCTAAAATTGGAAGTTTCTGCTATTAGAGAACTATCTCATGAAGATGTTCCCCAGTATCCCATGTTTAACAAGAGTTCACTATCACTACTTAGCTGTTAAACCAGCACAGATGACTTTGCCCTTTATTCCATGTCATCATATAAGGACATCTTATAAGGACATCCCTATTGGAAAGGTTTTTCTCAATAACAAACAAGTCAATGCAGAAAATGCCTCTAGCTTAATTTCTGAGCCATCCAAACCAAGGCTTATATAAGCCTTAACACTAATAAAAATCACAGAATATTGAACAACAGTAAAAAACTTCTGCTGCACAAACTGCGCACTTTCTTGATTTTGTGTCTTTATTCCATTACTTGTATACCCATCAGTGGATGGCTATAAGCTGTTCAGAAGGGACAGGCAAGGAAGTAGAGACAGTGGCACAGCTCTGTACACTGAGAGTGTTTTGACTGTACAAAACTCAAAGATAGGGATGATAAGGTTGAGTGCCTATGGGTAAAAGGAAGGAAAATATGCACACCACAGCACAAGATTGCAATCTAAAATATCTTCAGTAATACACACCTCAGTTCCATTATTATCTTGTACTACAAGTTTTCTGATTACATTAAAGATAAGAAAAGTTGAATTTGTTTCTTTAAACTTTAAGTTTCACTATTGATGTTTCTTTCCAAGTATCAGAATTCCTAGTTCAACTAAAGTGTTTTCACAAACAGTAGAGCTTAACACAGATTTAAGAGCAGAAATCAGTTGTCTTCACATATACTAACCTCAGTATATGTAGCTTCAACTTAAAAATATCCATAAATAGAACTAGTTTTGAAGAACAATATATACATTAACCTGTAAAAAAACCTCACTACAGAGAGGAATACATATTGCTGGAAGTATAATACCCACTATAAAAATAGCAGCTATAAATAAGATTTCATTGGCAGTGTAAGGTACTACCTGATCTCATAGTTTTCCCTTTCTCATCAGCTTCCATAGATTTTTAAAGAAGTAAACCACAGGAAAGATTTCCTTACACATCAATTTTCTGCAGTATGACTTACCAATTTTGCTGCTTTTCCATAATCAATCCATCGAATGGTGGCAAAGTTTGTTGACTCCGCACAGTTATATCCATGGTTAAATCCCGCATGATATCCATATGGGAAAGTGATCATAAATTCTCCTGCCTCTTGTGTAATCTGTAACATTTAAAACAAAAAAAAAATCCCAACAAAATAAATAAATTTTAAAAAACCTCAAAGTGATCCACATTACAAAAGCAGTTCTGGTCCTAAAGCATTGAAAACTACATTTGCCTTTACAACTAACTGAAAACTTAAGACTTTTTCCTCACTTTGCAGGGAAATGAAACTTACACAGTACACTTGAGACAACATTCTTTACTACAAAATGCATAGGAGCATGTAACACTTTACAAACTCAGAAAGAACATTCAGAAAAGCTAATATGGAAGCAGAGGTTCACTGGTAAAGGGAACTAGATAGTACAGAATGAAGAATTCCTACTGGCTGAAAGGAAGCAGAGACACTCTGGATCAAAATACCCCAACAATCATTCCTAAATAAACAAAATAATTGTACAACTTATTCTGTCCACCATCCTGAAGAAGTTCCTATAAAATTGTACCAAAAATTTTCTTCAAAAGACTGGAGAGAGATCTTCTTTCCTACACTCTATGATTTCAAAAACTGCTATTCAATGACTTACGACTGAGAGCCTGATTAGCTTTTTCAGTTCCTTCCCATCCTATTTTATGCAAGAAAGCATAAAGTATGAGAAAGTCTAAGGTGAGGAGCCTTAGCAGTTTAGGAAAACAATGTTGTTCATCCTAAAGGAACACAATGGAATACCTCAGGTAGTGTCCTTAAGTGGAGAGAGGGAAGAAGGAAAAGAAGAATGAATGAAAAACACCATGCACCAATTCTTAGGCCATACAGCTGTGGCAGTGTGCTCTCCCCAGCCCAAGCAATACCCACCAGTGGTAGTCATCATGGCTGCATATGGTTTAAGATGACCTTTGGGAAGATGGAAGGCAACACAGTGGCCAGGGGCTGCCTTGTGCAGTGACCCAGATGTCCTGTTGGTATGTGAATATGACTGTAAGTCAACCATGCTCCTCCATAAACAATGCCGCAGCCCAGGGCAGAGGCTGCAGCCAGCATCTCCCCTTGAGCAGGGACACTTCTCAAGGTTACTCCTCAGGGCTGAGAGACTTCTTGCCATGTCAGATATTTTGTTAAGAGAATTGGGAGTAAGCATACTGAAACTCTGTCGTCTTAGCTAAGTGATGTAAAGGGTTGATAGTGCATATATAATCCTTTAGACATGAAGAGTTGACCAAGTATGGTGACAAAGTCTTGATCCAGCTCCTCTCAGACTGCCCTATGAAAAGGAGCTTAGAAAGCAACAGGGTCCTCTCTGAATCTGTGACTCAAGAGGACGGTCTCCCTGACAGCTCTAGCTGATCCTGTCCGCTATGCAATAAATTCTTGAATGTATGTTGCCATCAGATCTTGTTAAACCATTGTCATATTAACCACTAAACTTTGTTAACTCTTGCAAGTGAAGTGTAGCACACTCTTTCCATGACAGCTGCTATCACCAAGCAGATCCTTGCATTGGAAATCCCATGTAGAATATCTCAAGATAAAGCTATTAAAGCACCACTTTAGACATTAAATGTAAAACAAATTTTAATCTGCTACTGTCCTTCCCCTCTTCCTCTTTAAACAAAATTTTAGAGAGCAGAGACACTCTGGCATTACTGGTAACAAGATTTACAAATAACTTAAGGACAAGGGGGATAAAAGAGGATTCTCAAATTAAAAATGTTTGACTACAGTTAAGCTCTAACACTGTCTTAGAGTATAAGCAAGGGTAGTTTTAAAGAACTACACTGGTCTTTACAAGTGCAACCAAAAGAAAAGTGTGCTAAGGCCACTGGTTCAACAAGAAATTAGAGAAAGCAGATAAAAAACGAAAAGAAAAAGCCCCAACTAATCAACCAAAACAAAAAAAACCTTCCTAAAAGCCACTGCCATGGTAATTATAATTAATTATATCCAAAAATAAACAATTTTCCTACTTCCTGGTTTTAAAAGATACATCAGATTTAAAGGGCTTCTTTAAAAATTTGAGGAGGGAGGTGTGAGAGGGAGGGAGAGAGGAGTGCAGAGGGAGAGGGGAGAGGGAGAGGGGAGAGGGGTGAGAGGGAGGGGGAGGAGGGGGAGGGAGGGAGGAGGGGAGGGGAGAGGGAGAGGGGAGGGAGGAGGAGGGGGAGGGGAGGGGAGGGAGGGGAGGGAGGAGGAGGAGAGGAGGAGGGAGGGAGGAGGAGGGAGGAGTGGAGGGAGGAGGAGGAGGGAGGGGAGGAGGAGGGGAGGGGAGGAGGAGGGGAGGGGAGGAGTGGAGGGAGGGAGGGAGGGAGGAGGGGAGGAGGGGAGGGGAGGGTGAGTGGGTGAGGAGGGGAGGGGAGGGAGGGGGAGGGAGGAGGGGAGGGAGGAGGAGGAGGAGGGGAGGAGGGAGGAGGAGGAGGAGGAGGGAGGAGGAGGGGAGGGTGGAGGAGGAGGGGAGGGAGGGGAGGAGGGAGGGGAGGGGAGGAGGGGAGGAGTGGAGGATTACTTATATATTTATTATTTATTATTTATTTACATTTTACTATATACACATTATTATTTATTTACATTTATTACTTATTACTTAATATTTCACTACTACATTTAATACTTATTACTTAATATTTACATTAACATTAATTATTACGCACATTACATTAATACTTTATCATTTCATCATTTAATATTTATTACTAATATTTAATATTTAATATTTCATTTACTTAATTATTTATTATTTATTATTTATTATTATATTATATTATTATATTATTTATTATTTATTATTTATTATTTAATATTTATATATATTTATTATTATTATATATTTTATATTTATTATTTATTATTTATTATTTATCATTTATTATTTATATTTATATTTACATTATTTATTATATTACTAATACTCATTATTTATTTACATTTAATATTTAATACATTATATTTATATTTACTATTTATATATTTATTACTTTACATGATTATTTACATACATTACATATTATTACATTTAATACTTATATTAATATATTATATTATTATTACACATTTATTATTTATTTACATATTTATATTTATTATTTATTATTACATTATTTAATTATTTACTATTTATTATATATTATTATTACTATTTAATATTTATTATTTAATATTTAATATATATTATTTATTATTTACATTTATTATTATATTTATTATTTATATTTATTACTTATTATTTATTTATTATTTAATATTTATTACTTATTATTTATTATTTACATTATTATTTATTATTTCATTATTATTAATTATTATATTATTATTTATTATTTAATATTTACATATTATTTATTATTTAATACATTATATTAATATTTCATTACTTAATATTTACTATTTAATATTATTATTATTATTTATTACTTTACATATTTCATTACTTATTACTTATTATACTTAATACTATTATTACATTACTTACATTTACATTATTATTAATACATTTACTTATTACTTAATATTTAATATTTACATTAATATTTATTACTTATTATTTACATTTACATTTACACATTATATATATTTAATAATACACACATTATTAATATTTACACACATTTAATATTTACACTACACACACTATTACTATTATTTACTATATTACTTACTATTTACATTTACACACATTTACATTTACATTTACACATACTTACATTATACACATGTTACACTACTCATATTTACTTACTACATATTATTTAATATTATATTTACATTTATTATTTATATTATATTATACATTTATTATTTATTACATATTACTATTATTTCATTATTTATTATTTACATTACATATTTATATTTACATTTATTATATTATTATTTATTATTTATTATTTACATTATTCATTTAATTACTTATATTTATTATATTATTTATTATTTATATATTATTATTATTATATTTATTATTTATTATTTCATTATTTAATATTATTATATTATTATACATATTTAATATTTATATTATTATTTAATATTTATTATTTATTATTATATTATTTAATATTTATATTACTTATTATTATATTACATCATTATATATTATTATTAATATTACACATATTTATATTATATTACATATTATTCATACTTTATATATATTTATTATTTATTACTATATTATTTAATATTATCACATTTATTATTTATTATTTATATATTTGACATTTAATATTTATTACTTATTATTATATATTTATTATTTACATTTATATTAATATTTACATATATATTATACATATTATATTGATTATATATTATTTATATACTTACATTATTATATTATGATTATTTATTATTTATTATTTATATTTATATTATACATATTAATATTTATTATTTATATTTATATTTAATATTTATATATTTATTATGATATTTACATATATTTACTATTTAATATTTGACATTGATAATTTATTTATTATTTATTATTTATATGTACATGACATTACATTATATGACAGACATTGGAGAGGAGAGGAGAGGAGAGGAGAGGAGAGGAGAGGAGAGGAGAGGAGAGACAGCACTTCTGTCAGTCACTAATATTCTCTCCACACAGAGACAGTTGTAATCAGCTGAAGCCAGACCACCAAAGACGGTATCAAGGACAGGCTAGTCAGAGACTTGAAATTGCACACTGTCTTCCGAACTATCTGATAAGAGTTAATGAATAAAGTAGATTACATAGAAGTGAATAGTGAAAGAGATTCCCCATGCTCTGTTTGATACACCTTTTTACATGAAACACCCATCAGACAACAGGCCCTCTAAAAAGCAAACAGATCTAAATGAAGCAAATAATCTGAGCGATGACTGATGAGTATTCAACAAGAAGCAGTTGCTGATTAAAATAAGGAGACTTTTCAGATATTAAATAGGCTGTTTTCATTGTCCAACAATGCTTTTCATAAGCAATACACTAAGAAAAATTGGAAGGACAAACGTGACCCTTTTTAGGAAAATACACTTATCAAAAAAAGAAAGGGTTACATTTTAAACAATCACTAAAATTAAAACTCACAACTCCAAACATTTTTCTTATTAACGTCATGCCCTAAATCTCAGCTTTCTGCTGACACAGTTGTCTTACATTTATTTTCTGCTTTTAAAAACTCCTTCAAAATTCTTATCTTACAGATTTACAAACTCCTTGTTGCTCTTTTTTTGCCCAATGAAAAAACACACAGGGTTAGCACTTCAAGATACCTTTTTCTAATTGTATTACAGATTGAAGGAAAGAGAGAAAAACATGAAAAATATACTTAGCCAACAAAGCTAAAGAAAAAAATGACATCTTACATTTTGCATGGTTAATTTTTTTGTGGATTCATATTTAGTACATACATGCAAATGCACATACAGTTGCATATATTATAACTGCTATGGTAGCACTCCCAACAATTGCTGTGGGAATGTTTAAGGAAGATTATTCTCAACGCTAACGATTCCAAAATTTATCTCAATACACCCTCCCACTGCTGACAGTTTAGCAGGTGTTCTATTGCAACAAGCAGCAGTTCAGCTGCCACCTGGTAGGCGTAGGCTGACTTATCAGCATTCAGCACATTTTCACTTCTATTACTTTGAGCCATGAGAGATCACAGCCTGGTTCTCTCTGTTCACTTTCTCACTGAATCCCATTAATTACAATTACACTCGGGTACAGGCTGCTTCCTCTAAAAACGAGGTGACAGAACCAAACTTTAACTGTTTGTAGCTTTTTTTTTTCTTTTCTTTTTTTTTTTAAATTATAATATAAGAATAGACACCAAAATACAAAAAGTCAACTCCCTTACCCCACCTCAAATGTGTGGTACTGAAAATAAGAACACTATTTTAAACACCAATCCTGAAAATTATACTGTTCAGAGTAATGTTCTGTAAATCCAAAACTATACATCTAGTTTAAAACCTTCCAGCTTGGAAAGTTTTGCCTGACAGTTTATGATAAAGCACAAGGCTATGAAGGGAATCAGTACTTACCTATATATTACAAAAACTGAACTCAGCAACCTCATTTTCATATGATAATATATCATTCAGAAAACAAACTACTTATTTTGTAAGTAATTTATTCAAAAAAAGCTTGCTTTCCAAGGCAGGTAGTATCATTCTAAATGCCTACATTTCTTCAATTTTACACTTAGGTTGACTCAAGCATGAAAAGTGAAGTGATATTCCAGAAATGCATACATCAAATCAGTGGCTTCTTCCCACCTGTGCTGCCAACAAGGTTATAACACAGAGGTGCTCTGGTTCTTGCTGAGCACGTCTGACACAGCATCAAGGCTTCTTCTGCTCCCTGCACCACCCTGTCAGCGAGGAGGCTGGGGATGCACAAGCAGTTGGGACACAGCTGGGACAGCTGACCCCATGGCATCATGCTCAGTATATAAAGCTGTGATAAAAAGATGGCACAAGGATTGTTTGGAGTGATGACATTTGCTTCCCAAGCCACTGGTACATGTGACAGGGGCCTTGCTGTCCTGGGCATGGCTGAACACTTGCCTGCCCAAGAGAAGCAGTGAATTAATTCCCTGGTTTGCTTTGGTTGCTTTGCATAAGAAATTACTTTGTTTACTTTGCCAAAGGATTTGGGTTTTGCTTTCCCTATTAAACCATCTTTATCTCAACTCACAAGTTTTCCAGCTTTTACCCTTCCAATTCTCTCCCCAGTTCCACCAAAAGGGTGTGATCAAACACCTGTGTGGTGTATTTAGCTGTGCAATAATACACGTGAAAATATTCACTTAAATTATTACTATTCATATTCCACTACATTATTTTTCTTGTTTTGCTCTCTTACCTTCAACCTGTAATACAGTTAGAAAATTATTCACTTAAGTTACTATGTGTAAAGTTTCACACAGTTAAAAAAACATCAGCTACACCAGACAGAAAGCACTGTGTTATCCTATATTCTAGGCTGGGGAACATGCTCTTGTCAAACGTTTATTCTGCCATGACTATTACTTAAAAATAATCATTCACTCTTTGTCTATTACGTTACAGCTTTTAAAATACATTTTAAATTAAATACCAGTTATTTTGGCTTTATCCCACCCTAAATCTTTCAGACCATGCTACTGATAAAGTTATATTTAAATTGAAAGCATGGAAATAAATGAAGAAATTTTGGTAATGTCTTAGAAAAAAAATCACAGAAACTTTTACAATGAAGCCAATGTGGTGGCTACAAGTGTGCAATGCTAGAAAATTCTAAGCTAAACTATATAAAAGTTATAATACATCTTTTTATGCAGTCATTGCCTAAAAAAAAAATTTTACCCCACCTTAATATGACAACCTTCATAATAAACACTAACTCAATACATGAAAGCCGACTTTAAAAAAAACACTAATGTACCTTGTCAAAAGGAATTCCATAATTTTTCAATATTGATGGAGAAATCAGAGTTATCTTGTGGCGAAGAAAAGCATCACATCCTTGAGAGCTGCTTGGGAAGAACCCTAATAAGGCAAGATAAGCAAAACTGTGTATCTTTCCATTAAAATAAGTAGGAAATTATTTTACAATACTTAATACTGTTTAAATTTGCTTTGTGATTTTTTATCATGCCATTCCTAGGTTCTGAGAGATTTGTAAAATTCAAATGTACCTCCTAAGTTTTTCAACTGCTTTTCAGGGGGAGGGGTTACAGGGGTTTTTGTTTTCTTTGTTTGTTAAGAAGTGAAATAATTTAAAATAAATCTGGACCTGTAAATTTAGGCATATTTTCTTCCCTTTTAGAGAAATACATTATTGTTGGGGGCTTTTTTTTTTAAGTTAAGTTCATTTTGCACACACGACAATCAATTACAGTAATAAATTTGGAAGGATTCCACAAGCTCTAGGTTTACCCAGCACTTACAAACCATCTACACAGTAAACAAATACCATTTTCTAATTAGGTGTTTGTACAATTTTTTGTATCCGTCTTGCATAAATGTTAATCTTTCACAGAAGCAATTTAATTCTTGGAGCATCACACTCAGTACTCAATTATAAATAAAAAAATAAAAAAAACAATCATCACTTTCAACCAACCATCTTGAGAAAAAAAAAAAAAACTAACAAGAATTTCCCATAATACATAGCCTTCTCTGTAATTTTAATTTTTTCACTCTGGTGAGTCTTACATATATTTGTCCCTTAACAACCCTAAAAGTTTAGAACAATTTTAAGGTGATCACAATATCCTTGTTATATTCTTTGTACATTTAATTCTGGCACACTCACCAGTACCAGAAGAAAATTCTTTTTCTGATTTCTCAGAAATAAGGTTAAGCAGCATTTAAGCATCAAAGGTGTAATGTGGACTTCTGCTGATCTGTACTAGGAAGTCTGCTAAGCTGCCCTGAGATCAAATTTTATTCAAATTCATCCTTTTGCTTTTTATCACCACCAACAGGCATACAATTCTTTACTTTCTTCCAAAGCTGTAAATAATGTTCTAAGGTTCAAAAGTACTACTTGATAAGTACTGTTTTATCGTGTATGTTTGGCTTCACTGACTAAAAGACAGTTAAGAGAAGCTGGCCCAAAATTAGTGGACTGCAACATTCAACTATTTGGGCACAATTAATGCCTATAACATAATGATAGCAATCATAACTTAGAACCTACAGTTTATGAGATTCAAGAAATCTTGGTCCTGAGTGACATAATAAAAGAAATATACTGGAACTTACTGTGAAAAATGTGATTGAAAGTGATACTTGAGACTTGAGGAAAAAGCCAGTATGAAAGGTAGCAAAAAGCTTAATTTCTAAAAGCAGAGAAAGTTTGACTGAATTTTCCTTGAGAAAACAAATTTTGTACCGAATTCTGATACTGAAATGTTTAATTAGCTTGATATAAGATGATAAAAAGCAAATGATGGGCTGACATCCAAAACTTAAGTTGTATCACTACAACTCCAAGAGATCAGAAATAGTTGTGACAAGTCCAACCAGAAGGCAAGCTTCTTGCTGAATTCCAGGAAGCTGCAAATAACACAAAACAGTAGAACACAACCTGCTCAAAATCCAATACAAGACATTTACAGGAAAACGTCTCCTGTGGTTACAGAGCCCTCGCAGTGAAATCAAAAGTGCAGCCTACACATTCTGTACCACTATAAAATATCTTTTGACTTGCTGAAGTCTACACTTACACACAAAAATTTTTGAGCCTCATTCACCTCATTTTCTCAAAAGCACTCCCCTTCAATGAACAAGGAAAGAAAGGAAGGTAGTATTTCCTCCTTACAAGACTCTGTTTATCAGAAGGTCTTTTGTTCTGCCAGGCTAAATGTAAGGTCACAAAAAGTTTTCTTTCAGAAAAGAAAATCCCTGTGGAGAACTGCTGAACAGATGTAAAAAAATACCTAAAGGCACACTGAATAGCAGACTTGCATTAGAAATATTATAAGAGCCTTACAAAAACATTATATGGAAGCCAATTCTAGATATGCCTGCAACACCCAGAACCACTCTCAAATACCAAGCTGATGGTAAAACTACAAATTTACAGAATTACTATTTAATCCTGCATGTTTATTGAAATCCCACATCAAAAAAAAGTACTGAAATCTATCTAGAATGTAACTACCATTCAAGTTCTGTAATACATTCTCATGCTTTTAAGAGACACATGAAATCTTAATTTAATCCATTAACACTAACCATTAATTATAAATTAGTTCTATAAGAGCAGGTATTTTGCAGGAATTGGCATGCAACCCCATTTTCTTGGATGGTCTCTTGAGATATGGCAGAACTGTATCCTATTCATCTTCTTGGAAATAATTACACAGAAACAAGATGAGAATTCAAAATAATTACTTCACATGAGCCAGTAAACAATAATCAGAGATCAGGGTAAAACTGAATTAGGTTGCTCATTGATTTATGCCCATTAGAAAAAGACCATCAAATTGAAAAGTCTGTAATCCATGATTTACAGAAACATCAGCATTCTCAATACCTAGAGCAGAATTAGAACACTCTACAAGGTAAATATGTGACTCAACACCTGGTGGCCAAACATTTGGGCACGAACATATAAAATACAGGAAGTGCACATTTATTTACCAAAGTCAAGGTCCCTCTCTGGCTTTTTAAAATCCTTATCTCCTTCTCACAAACAACAATAGCACAGAATATGTGAAAGCACAGGCTGAGAATGTGCTAAAAATCAAAACCATGTCCTTAGAAGATTCTTTATACATGTTTTGACAGATACCATAGCCTAGAATGTCCAATCTTACCAATGCTATTTGTATTAACAAAATGAAACTAATTCTATAGTTACAGCAGTATCACTGGGCTGGTGAAGATACATCCTTTGTCAATGTTATTCCACCTCAGTGTGACGTTTCCATATCATTTCTGGTTTTATAACCCACACATATGCTAGATAGAAGTCAAAGCCTGTAGGCACTCACCAGATTCCTAGCTGTGGATCCTTGTGTATCCCTTCCAGCTCAGAATACTCTCTGATTCTGCGACTGAGAATTCAAACACACACTGTAGTGCTGCACTGAGAGTCTAAGTGTACATTACATGGTTCAGGAATAAAGAACATGTTTTAAAAAATAAGTTCCAATCTATAAATTGCTGAGGGACAATGAGCATTGCTATCTAGAAGGCTCTTTTTTTTTCTTTCCATCCTGAGAGTATCCTTACTACATATCACAAACAACTCGTATCAGACAACCACATCAGTATCATACCTGTCACTCAGTCAAACTGAAGTGGATTGGGTTCCATTCCCTGATTCATTAGCATTTTCAAGATACCTGGAATGCTTATCTGTGGCACTAAGAATGTGTCCATAATATCTTTAATTAAACTACTCAGCTAAAATCATAAAGGGACAAATTACAATATTATTCCCAAGAGAGTAATAACTCCATTATACTGAACTCATTGATTTGCTATATAGTACCTTGTATGATCCAGGACATCACAATTTGGCTAATAATAAAGTCATTATTTAAGCACACACACATAAAATCATATTCTTAGGGAACTTTCAAACCAAATTCTGACCAGCCAATGCATGAGACTACACTTTCTGTAAATTTTCTACACTTCCATAGTCAAGACTTTACCTGAAATATTACAGTAAAAGTGCTGCATTCCTACTTTATTATTATTTAAAATTCAAAAAATGAAAATACAAAACAACATAAGAAAGAGAACACCCTAAATTGCAAATATCTTTACTGAAATTTAATGTTAATGAAATTAAAAATAAACCAAATTAAAGAAATTAGGCTCAAAGTTATCGTGTTTTTTTATTTATATAGTTAATATTTTAAGGATCTAGAATAATATAAAATATTACTCATAATTCACAGATCAGTACTCTTGAAAACAGACAGGGATGAAAAACTTACTGAGCTTTCTAGTAATTGTCTTCTCAGATTTTACTTTGGTAGGTATAAGTACAAATTTCATATGATTTATTTAAATTACTTTGCAGTGATTTAAACTAATTTAACTTTCTGTGATGAACATAAAAGAAATTAGGAAGGTAAGTTTGCATGACAACAATTGTCACAAAGAAACAATGGCAATCCGTATGCTATACAAAGCACAGAGTACAAAACCCACAAAAAAGTGGCTTTCAAATGCTAGGAAATATGACTGTCAGTATGGCCGGATGAATACATTCAATAAATACACTTAAGTTTATTATCTCTTAAATGCAGCTTTCCTAACTGGACTCATATCAGTTGAGAGAAAGTTCAATTCTTCAGCTGCTCAAGTTTTCAAATTGAAGACCCTTAGAAGTTACACAAGTTCTGTTTCCAATACCATTTCAACAATTATTTTGTATTTATTTTCAGATCTAACAGGTAATGACTTCTGCATGAAATGAAGTAATTAATACTATACACCATACAAAACTTTTTATAACAGCCCTATATACTTACAGTATATTAAACTTTACTTTACTTTCTTCTTTAACATAACTGAACACCACAGATAGATGTCATCTCCTTTCTAAAACAGTTTTCTGCACTCAAATGATCTATTAAAAGATCTTCAAAATCCTTCAAACTGTCATTTTTCATTTGGCACTCTGCTTCTATTCTCTTTATTTTCTAACCCATTTTGTGAAACAAAAAATACTTAAGAATACGATAGTATTCCAGATTAACATAACAGCAAGTATGAAAATTGCAGTTAACAGCTCACTGGAGATTTTTATTACATTTATGTCTACATAAAATTGAAAAAAAATCTACATAAATGAGAAAGCAGCTGAAGGGCAAAATCAAACTGTTGTCTTTATTAGATGCAAGCCTAATGTCTTTCAGATATAGCATTTGTAGGCGCCACAGTCAATCAAGATTTCAATGGAAAATAAAAATGAAAGCATTCATGCACAAAAGGCATGTGTGGTAATTGTGATGTGCAGACAAGATAATGGAAAATATTCTAGCCTTCCTTTAATTTCATGTATCAACTTCTGCCTTGATTTAGACAGCCTGTCACATTTAATGTATTATTTTATTATTTTAATTATTTAGGAGCATTTGATTAATTCAGTAGGTATCTGGTCATCAGAGGTAACCTTGAATAAATTAGGGGTTTTCCTTCAAATATTGTACTCATGCAAAAATATAATTAAAAATATTTTCAATTTTCCTGTCATTAAGTATGAAGGTCTCATTTACACTATGTTTTATTAATGTTTGCTCTTAAGTGACTTGCAGCCACGCAGCTGATTTTATATTTTCATCTTTGTAAGGTAACTTACTGTAAAACTCAGTCTGAACTTTAGGAGGTAGCAGCTGCAAAGCAGATCACAGAGGTCTTAACTGCTACAGCATGGAAATGATAAGAAATGGTCCATCATCTTTATTATTAAGTACTACAGCATCATCTTCTATATTCCATTCTCAGCTCTTAGCTGGACCCAAATTATCATGAAAACAATCTACTCATAGAAAAATACCCCAGAGGACATTAAAACTGAATGCTAAACTCTTAGTTTCATGGACAACCCTCTTTAACATTTCCTAATTCACATACGTTATACTGCTGTTACAAAAATAATCTCTGTATGAGGACATAGTTTTCTTATGTAAATCAAGTTTCAGAGAGTAAACATAATGGAATAAACCCTATTTTAAATTTTATCATCACTCTTCAGTATCCGATTCTATAGTTTAGTTGCTATTTACTATTCAAAACACGGTTATGAAGTAAAAATAGGTGACACTGAAGTCCTAAGTGCATTCAGCCTATTGTCCAATTCTGACTCTAGCATTTGGACATTAGGACACGATATTGTTCTCCCAGTATAACCTATTGGCTTCTGAAAAACAGTGGGTTTGGAGATCTCCATTTCTCCACCTGCTTTATGTTCCTTTCCTATTATTTTTGTAGGCCACTATCAGCAGCAAGAGGCCTAAGCACCTTCAGGCCACTTTTCTAACATGATGTTTTGTTTTTCCTTGAAGCAAAACATGTATCTCCACAAGTTACCTACTTCCTGAATTTGTACAGGTTAACCTAGGTTGATCTAGGGAAATTAAGGTATTCCAAAGAAAAATCTAAAGGGTTTCTTTAGCCTGCAACAAACAATGCCATGCCTCAATGCCACTTCATTTTTAGAAATGAGTGAAAAAGCGCTGCTGAAACTGCCCATCCTCTTCCCTCACTTTGAAAATAAAATTCAACCCATGCTCACAGATTTCACAGAATATTCTGAGTTGGAAGGGACCCACAAGGATCATAGAATCCAACTCATAAGTAAATGACCAATATGGGGATCAAACCCAAAACCCTGGTGTTATTATCGCCATGCTCTAACCAACAGAGCTAATCTCAGTGTTTTTACAGGACATTTAAACTTGAATGGTTTTAAAACACTGCACAGCTACAATCACACAATATGAAATCCACAATAAACACCAGAGGAGCCATTTCACATCAAATAAAAAGAATATCTAACCAAAGATCTTGCTTTCATCAAATATCAAATGTATGTGTGCAGAGAAGTGTTTACACATAGCATGAGCATTTTTCTTTCTCTGACTAACCTACTACCAACCAGACGCTGCTCCAAACCTTACAAAGCCAGCGGCAGTTCCTAAGCTCCTCTAACAGATAAAGGTGCCAGTGTTGTCCAAACTCCACCAGAAGCCATGCAAAATTTTAGAATCACCATGGACAGGGAGGAATGAATGCTGTGGAAAAAAAAAAAACATCTCCTTGCGTTTGCTTTGAGTCTGCTAAGATTATTCATCTTTCACCAGTCCTAGTGTAAACTTTTATAATTCCCTACTCCATTTACTCTTTTAATATTTCTTGTAAATCTTAATTATTGAATCATCCTATCATAAGTCAGCATCCATTGCCCAGTCTATATGTTTCAATTTCTCTACCAAAGAAAACTAAAAGCTTCAGGTTAAGTGTATATGGAGTTCTATACTTTGCAAATTGGAAAAAGAATCGGGAAAGCAACAGACAACTTTTTCAAATGAAACTACAGCAAAATTTAGGAATAGGAAATGGTTGAAATCTGTTTTCTTGGGACATGCTTTCAAGACTGGAAATCCAAGACAGGTCTTGACATTCACATCTCTAACTACTCTCCTATTTTTCTCAGCAATAGTTCTAAAAGAGCACAGAAAAATAGCCATGCATCTATATACAAAAAAAAAAAAAAAAGTATGAAAACCAAAACATACAAACATTTTCAGAATTTGGTTATGATACACAATACCTATTAGGAAACTGCAATAGCATTCTTTATTATTATGGTTAACAGCAAGCTAAAAACCTGGACTCCCAGGCCAAGAAACATCCCTATCACAAGTTGCACTCATATTTTAGAAACAAAAACAGAGGTATACTATCGAATGTAAGGCAAAATTACTGCTGGAGAATTTTCCTATAGACTCATGATTTTTATCCTTTAAAACTACAGTATAGGGCTACAACAGTAGCCCTGCTCCTTGTTGACAAACGTTCCAACACCTTTGGAAGGTAAAATCCAGTACACGCTTTAGCTAAAGTGGATTTCTATGTTTACTAGTCAGAAAGCTGGTAAAAAAAAAGATTTAATGTTTGTACATTTTGTGTGCTTCCCCCTTTGCAGAGGTACTAAGACTCCATCCTCTACCCAGTCATTAACTTTGATAAACCTTCCAGAGACTTGTCTTGTCATCAAATTTAAATATATCGAATTTGGCTAGAAATTAGGATTCAAAAAGTTACTGAAGAAGCGAAGCTACAACAAGAAGAGCAAGGGCACAGAGGAGACAACGATACTAGCAATGAAAATCTAATGAACAACAAAATAGTAAGCCTCATTTTCATAAGTTTCACCAAGCTAAAAATGCTAGTACAAAATAAAGTTCTAAGGGAAGTAAAAAAAAAAACCACTATTTTATTTCTAAAGAATTCCTCAGGGCACTACAGAGTGTTCCTTGTTTGCAGTGACACCGTAGACAGATAAAAGTCACACAACATTAAGTAATAAAACACAGTAGGTGAGGCAAGGACAATGTTTTTTACTTTGCTGGATGTTTGTCCTTCAAACATCTCACATATGGAAATATTGAAAATACTACCTTGAGCCAGTCTTTCAAGCCGTTTCCCATGCTCTGGAGGAATAGCATACCTAAAATTCACATAAAGAAAAGGATGAAATGCTTAAAGACATAATTATCACAAAAGCCATCTCTCACGTATGATAAATACCTAAGAATACAGAAGCCAAAAATATTAAAGACTGAAAATTTGTATAGAAAAAAAGATATACCAATATCTAAGTTAAAAATACAGAGGTAGGGTTTTGGAGTTTGGTTTTAATTTGAGAAAAATATTAGCTTATTTCTATTTTAAACATTGTATAATGTAGTGCAAAAATGTTATAGTCACTATTTAAAGTCATGTACATTGACAATACTTCATATTATTAAACCACTCCAGTTAAAAAAGATACATATATTTTCATTTTCCAAAAGAAACTGAACCACAAAAAATAAGTCTAATTTATACAAGTTTAATTTCTTTGAATTTTAGTATGCTTCAAAAGACACAAGGATTCAACAGAAAAATATGATCATTTAATGTCTCTACTTTTGCCTATAGCCAGTGCTGTGGAATAAAAGGGCTACTTGCCAACGTAGAATCATAACAATTACAATTTAAGATTATTAAAAAATATACTTAAAAGAATTTTATGTATCTTAGAATCCCTCTGTTCTTAGAATAAATTAATTTTTAAAAAATTCCACATGCTATCTGCAACAACTCAGTAACGATACAAAAGAACTGGAATAAATCTCACATGATTTTTAATGTTCACTGAAGACAAAAAATAGCAAACTTTTGAAAAGCTTTTTCCTTTCTGTTTTTCTTTATTATTAACATACTTAGTGCACTTCCTAGATATATGGTATGTTTTAAGTAATATTATTGACTTTAGCTACTTTAATACATAATAGATTTTTGTTTCAGTTTAATATTGCAATAGCATTAGATTGATTCTTCTCTATAAAAAATATGGTTTAGAAAAGAAAATGTATATTCAGTTGTACAACATAGTCCAAATCCACATTGTTAAACTAAGTCAACATAGAGCCTTTTTCTCCTACTACACTGTGAACAGGCTTCATTCATCTCCCCTGACAACTCACTCAGAGAAGCAAGTGAATGACCTAGGGCTCTCATTTTGCACAAGAAATAAACATCTCCCTACCTCAAGCTCTGTTATGCACACACAATACAATTCTACAATTTTACTCTATTGTAACTGAAACAGTTGCATGGAAAGAAAACCACTAGAGGAGTTAGTGCTCTGTAAGTAGAACCATAGCAAAACACATGCCTACTGGCAACCCAGTTCAAAGGTATTAAACGGAGAGGCTTTCAGCTTGACTATACTCAGTGTTTTCAGTTTTAATCAGAATTTCACTGTCTTAGGAAAATGTATTTTGGTTCTCTCCATTTGTACTTCTAAAGTGCTTGTGGCTGTTCTCCAGTCTGTATTACACACACATCAGTGTATCCATACTAATCTGAACTATATGTTTGCCATCCTTCACACTCCAACGGAGAAAGATGGTACGTTTAGAATTATACACTGTAGTGTACGCCATTAAATACACAACACCATGAAGTAAAAAAAATGAACAGATAGTGTTTACGTCTAAAAAAAATTCAGAACTGGATACTGTGCTTTGCTTTGCCTTACTTGACTTTAACTGGATTAGTACTCTTCCTAAAAAGTTTCTCCTGCAAAGGTATGTTACTACAATTTAGGGATAATATGTAGCCACATTACCTCCATTTGTACACATAAGCATATAAGCACTTGTCAGTATTACAAAATGCAAAACTGAATAACTGAGCTCTCAATAAGTCTCTTGGGAGGATAAGATGGGACATGATTTAACTGGACTATGCTACTTATCTAGTTACAAAGCAGTACAATACATTCATGCAAGTTGGTGTTTCTCATAGTCTTCATTTGAGGTCTGTGGTAACATCTACTCCTCAATCCTTTACCTCTTCCTACTGTTGCTATTGGTTGTTGCTCACAGCTAAGACAAGGGCTAATAAATGGAGACAGACCACCTTTGTACTTTCAAACATGAGGAGTCCCAAAGTCAGTCTTGAGACACTTTGGGATTGGTTCCTAACAGAATTTATTAGAAAACTGAGTGACATGAATCTTGCTGGATTCCTGGTCTACTGTACGTTAAACAAAAAACTACCAAACTCAAGTTTGATGACCAAGTCAGAGGAAAAAGTATTCACTCTTAGTCTAAACAGCTACCTTATATGAGAATTTGAGCAGTTAAAAGCTTATGGAAAAATATTTTTTGTCATTTTTGTGTCCATCTTTCTTTTAGCTACATTACCATTTGTTTGACTTCTCATATCTTAAGGCCTAGCCCAGCCCACTTTAAAGCAAATGTAATGCACATTAAAAGGTAAATAACTAAGAGATAAAAAGAGTTTTTATTGGATAACAAGTGAAGAAACAGACAAAAAGGCGAGAAAAGACAAGAAAGGAAATGTTGATGCTAACTATAATTTTATTAGTTCAGGAAGACACTCTTGTTAAATATTATGAAAAGACAGGCAGAAGCTGAAGAGTTGCTGTTCATTGCTAGTCATACTACAAGGACAGAAAAAAATATGGTACGTGTATTTGTTGAGCATTGTTCAAAAAGATCTGCCGAAATACATATTAGTTTAGTAAATCAAAGCTATTGGTGACAAGATAACCACAAATAAGAAATAAATATTAAATCTAAGCCATTAACTTGTAACTGTTAAACATTTATGTATATGTTTTCAAGATTAATGTTTCTAAACTATTTCGCAGTATGCTTTAAATAATCACACCAAAACCAACAAATCATTGTTTTATTGTGCAAAAACTACTCAGCCAACCAAGATGGCCATCACACCAGAAGCCACTTGTATTCACCCAATCATTCTCGTATCAGTGACCAGTGACAATGAGAAACAATTTGGGTTCTGTTTTTCCTAAGCCAGGTGCACACACAGATAATAATTAACAGCATCAGCCACAAGCAAATTTAGCATGATGTTAAATACTTCAACAAACTGCTTCTCTAAAGTCCATGTTATATATTGACAGGGTAACAGCACCTGATTTTTCCCGCATTCGTATTTTTTTTTCCATAGGGGAGAAACAAAACAAACAAAACCTCTCTTTTTCTTCTAATCCCTCAGCAAAGTTACTCCTCTTTATGGAGAACTGCAACTATTAAACAATTACTCAGTCTCAAGCACAATAACCCTTTCAGGCTGCTGACAAATCAGTACACTGATTGATTATAGCTTCCTTTTTACAATCAGAATCCTTATTTGACTACTGTCATCTCTGTGACTCATAATATTCTTTTTAACTTTTCTGACAATTTGCAGCAAGAAGTGTAACTAATCCTCACCTCTTCTACTTTGAGCATAAATGTCCCTCCACCTCCCAAGAAGTTTTATGTATTATTCGTATTTCTCTCACTAAAGGTTTGGATTTTTCTGTAATTTTCTGAGTTTGTTTTGTTTCCTAGATACAGAATCTAACATGCCAGTTCTGTCAACGATACGCATAACTTGTGCTGAACTTTGAATCACTTGTCCAGATTTTAACTAGTTTTTGTCAGCTGCTGATCACACTGAAAGTCCTGTTAATCCTACCCAGAGGACCCTGTAAGGACCTAGCTGAGTCTCTTTAAATCCATTTACTCTAGAGCCATGTTTGTTCTCAAATTATACAATGTTAGCACCAGTCTGAGTATGCTTTTCCTTCTCACCTTTTTTGCCTGTAATTATGCCTATTACTAATATCAGAACGCCACCCATTTTTTTCCCATCATACTTAGAAACCCATTTCTTTCTGTTCCGCTATTGGGATGCAAAATCTGAAATAAAATCACATTTTAAAGACTTCCACACCCCCTACCATGTAACTAACTATCTTACCTAATTTTTCCACTTCACAAGAAGATGTTGGTACACATTCTACATCGGCAGATCCATAAAAGCAGATTAGTCATCACAATCAAGAGGGACAGTCATGTTGCTCATGGTATAAACTCTAGGCAACCTGGATATCAGATTTCTCACTATCCTATACCTACTGAAATCATGAGGAGAACTCCTGAACCTAAATCTCTGCTTCATTCTGAATGCCACCGTAGAACCATTTCCTCTTACATCCTAAGTAAATTGTGGGGCACAGTCTCACTCTCCTAATCTATCTAATTTTGGCTGTCTAAGCATTCTCTGTTCAACAATCTGGTCTCTTCTTCTTGGCATCATTACAAAGATGGAATCATCTTCTCTTTCTGTAGTATATATATCCTCATTTATTTTATGACTGACCAGCCCTGCAAGGCATTTTGTTATTTATGAAATACCTTGCTAAACAGGAGGGGTTTTTAACATAACATATTGTGCCTTATCATTTCCACTCTTTGGAAAGGCCGGAGCGAAGACCAGATGGGATGTCACAGAAAAGATATAAACTGATACATAAATTATTGTTTGTATTTTTATATTGCAAGTTTATACTGTGCCCCTCTGTGGTAAGTAGAAAACTCTGGTTCTTCATGAAGAAAAGAGTTCAAGCCTCCACCCTCAGATATCAAAGGTGGAAAAAAATAAGCACAATTTTTAAAATTTTACTTTCTAAAGTAAAATAATATATTTTCTGCACATCTTTACTCTTCTTCTTTAAAACAAATTTTTTTAAAAAATAAGTTAGTCCAATTATTATTATATTTTAAATACCCACACTACCATGAAAATAATTAATTTATGCCTGTTTAAGAAATACTTCCACATATTCATTATTAATACTCTTAAAGAAGATTTATGTCATTTTAACACTTAAAAAAAATTAGCACCATTTTTTCGTGAGGTAATTGGCACAATGAGTAAGCCTTGCTTTCAGACACTTTATAAACCCAGAATTACTTTTTAAAAAATATATTTTATTCAGATTTTTTTAAAATTTAAAAATTTATAAGGTAAATTGAAGCATTATCTGTATTTTAACCAAGGGTACCATACACATACTAGTAGTCTAACATTTGAACTAATAACAAAATTCTGCTCTATGCTAGGCATGAATTTTCAAAAGTTGAATAGTTTAACATTACAAAATTCCTCAAATTAGTGCACAAATCAAAAATAAATTCTCTTTAGTCAGGGCCTATACCCCCAAAACAACAATTACAACAGAAGAAAATATTTAACAACAAATGACAGAACGAAGACATTTTTAATACTAATAAAAAGTTGACAGATACTATTACATAATACATCATATCAAGAAAGAACTGAATTAATATAGCAGATCATCAATAACACCAATAGTTCATCTTCCTACTAAGAACTTTTCTAAGAAACTGTGATGTAAAATGAGGTACCATCTTCAAGATTTTTCAACTCGGAAAATAACGAGAAAGGAAAATTGCAGTAAAAATTCTGCCTAATGGTAATTTTAATTGTCTCTATTCTACTTTCCAGCAAATCTTTCCTCACCCTATTTCACTCTCTTCTGCCCTCATATTAATCTGTTTCAGAGCTTCTAAGTTCTTTTCTCTCCTTCAATTTTCTCTCTGTAGCACTATTTTACAAGTTAAAGAATCTATAAAACATATGTATTACACAAATATATACATAAACACATAAACAGCCCTAGCCCTGATTTTGCAAGTGTTTATCAGACACACTTTTCCCTTGTGTTTCATGTGAGGCAGTCAATGAAGGAATCAGTATACATAAAACTACAGATTTCTTTGCATACCTCTTGGAAGTGCAGAGTATAAGTAACAAAAGTTAATGTATACCTAAACAGTGGAGAAAACTTCAATTCCATAAAGACTGCCATAGCAGTTAGATTTAGCTGCTACCCACAAGTTCTCTTTGTGGCTCTCAGATAGAAGTGGTTGTCCTTTCTCAATCCAGAGAACGTACACTGCATATTAGTTTTCCATAGGACCAGTGCGTCTGTCTTGAAGAACATCATGTATCCTTTAAAACTAGAAAGTATGTATTACTACTGTACATGTCAACTTATTTGGTTTTACTAAGTAAATTTGTCAAATCAGTTCAAATTTAGGAGCAGACAAGATCTTTATGTATCCTAAGATTTGGCTCATGCTCAACTTTCTTGAAGAAAACGTACTATAATCACATTTAAACAAGACACATTTTACTGATAAATGAACATTTATGCTTTAGCATAAATTACTGCAGCATTCCTACAGTAGAGGCACAAGTGTAAATCAGATCTTTAGTAGTCTTTCAGTCAATTTTTTTATAGTGCTGCATTTCCTAAAAATATGGGCCAATGTGGCCCAGAAAATTAATTTCTATCCTCTGTTACTTTTTCAAAAGATGAAGAGGTCAGTGTTTAATGATTTTGTTCATTCATAATGTAAACAAGCATGTAAACTAGAAAAGCATTTATCCAATTATCAACTCACACCTCCTTCAAAATACTTGAAGAAGAGAAGATTTCCTATCTTCTTTCCATTATGCCTAAGGGCTTTAGGGTTTAAGTAGATGTCTCTACTCTTGGAATTTCACAATATGTAGTGAGATTTTCTTCAAATAGCACTTTTTAAATTCCTTAGAAGCAAAAAAAAAAAATGTGGGCGTTGTATTAATTAATTAATTGTGTCCTATCATGCTAGAACATTTTAAAATCATCTATATTTACACTGATTTTTATCAAAAATACTGATCTTATGGTTAACACTTTCTTAGTGTGGCTAATTTTATCAAAGCAGCAATTTCACATTTACCAATTTAAAACATGGACTTGCATTTTACCACAACAGGTTGTATTCACCTTCTCTGCCTTTACTTAAGAGACCCACTGTAAAAGCAGGTAAACTTAAAGTAATTACCTAAGAAGCAGCATCTGACCACCCTCAGAGTATAAATACATAATGTTACATAGGTATTTTTATTTTGTATGAGTATAAAAATAATAAATAATGTTTTTTGGAATTATCAGCTACAAATTTTCTACCCAAGTTTGGATGACTAGAAACCCCCAGAACTGAACTAAGCATAACATATCTTTTATTATCTTTCTAACGATTTTATGTTCTCTTCACAGGTACTTTGGGAGAAAAAAAAGATTTTATGAACAAACGGATAGCATTCTTTGGACATACTTTGTATACTTTGGACACACATATATCACAACTGATAGGTACTATACTAAACCAACTTGTCTATTACAGCTGTTCAACCTGAAATTTAAGATTATAGAGCAAGGAGAGTCAAAGTTTTGTACGAAGGAAGTACCTTTAACACTGTATCTTACCTCCTACTGGTTCTATTGAGTTCACATTAGAGAATGACTCTGATTCAAAGAAGTAATTAAAGGCATGTTTAATACAAAACATGTTGTGCAGTCCCAAGGGATACTGAACCAAAGAAACTGATTTCAAAGAGCTCTTTCAGAAGTTCCTCAAGAAGTTCCCAACTCCTTAAGCTTCACATATTGGACCTTTAAAATATTTTTCTGTTGAACTCCAATAAGTGTTATATACTTATTTGTCTTTTTCTTCAAAAATCAAAGACCGTGTTGGAGTGATGTTCATCATCAACCTCACATATTTCATAGCACTGAGCTTTAAAAAAAACCCTCACAAAACAATCTTAGCTTTCTAGTAAAGTTTACCATTGTAAGCAATTGTACCCCATCAACAGACGGTTTAGTCAGCTGAAAGAGACATCATCTTTCACAAAAATTTAAACTTGCCATGACTTTGGCTCCCCGAAATGGAGATAATTAATACTGTAGAGATCCATGTCTTCAGTGTGCCATGCAAATGTCGTTTTCCACATCCCAAAATACAGATATGGTGTATTTACACCCTCAATAGAAATTCCACACTCTTCTCCTACAACGTCCAATATTGTGTTAAGACGGGCAATATTCCATTCCTTAACACCCTGAAAAAGATACATTAAAAATATATTAGTAAATTTATCAAGCAATGTAACTTTACCTAATAGTTTCAGTCAAAAAATACACACCTGATCTAGCCCTTCAAAAGACTGTATGTTCATACAATTTGTAAGCACTTGAGAAGACAGCTGAAGATACTCGAAAAAAAATTCTCTTGACCTTAGTAAGTTTTAAATCAGGTCACAAGTCTGAGATGTTCAGGGCAAGAGAATATAAGGAAGTTCATATTTGGTTTATACTTAGTACATCAAATCTAACCTGGCTTAAAACACCGTACATAATAGAAACAACAGCTGCAGACAATGTCTCTGATTAGTTGATAGCTGGAAGCCATTAAATTTCTATCTATGGGCCTATCTATGTTTTTTTATAACTTAAAAAGTAATACCAAATAGCATGAAAAATTATTTAAAAATTTATTTTACATGCATAAATTTACCATTTCTCTGTAAAGTATACAACCACAAAATGATTACATCACTTCAGATATATTTCTAATCATAATGATGTACTGCAGAAATCTATTATTGCCTGGGATTCAAGCTGTTTCCTTACATTACTGCCTATAAAACCTGTATATTAGAAGTCACTCGGAAAGCAACGCAAATGGTCTTTGCCGTATTTCAGATTCAACCACAAAGTGCAATTCTAATTCCAGGTAATACAGCATCTAAGAGACAGTATAACCAAGATCAAAGCTATAAAACTGAAGAGAAAAAGATTAGACTTCATTATAACAGCAATTATTAGCACCTCTAGGGAAGAAATTAGCTGGTGCTCAAGCAGTCAGAAAAACAAGAAATATAATCAAAACTATTAAAAACTCAATTCAGGCAAGTTTTCTTGGAAAGACAGCCCCTAAGCATATCCTTAACCATAAGCTACTCTGCACACCACCCAGCACTGAACCTACAGTTCTGGTAACCTTACTGTTTGGGGAACAAACTGATGGTAGACTGCAGACCTGATGCATCTGATTAAGTAACATGATGACATTCAATAGTCAGACAGCTGGAGAAGTAAGAATATAGGTTAAAGCAAGAAGTAATGAAAATTTAATACTCTCAGTTTCCATTTCCTCAGTTTTTGTGATTTTTATGTCAAGCATGTTAAGTATGCAGCAACTAGAATTGATATATAAGAAGGTAATGTCTGTGAAGTTCAGAATTGTCATTGAACAGGCACTTCTGACTGCCTCTGTGACTATTTCACTTATTAAGAAACACTAAGTTATCTGGAAATTTACAAAGGAGTAAAGCATGTTTACAGAATGAATTCAATTCAGACAGTAACTTTTGTTCTTTTAAAATTGAAGCCTTGGCTTTGATGTATTTGTTAAACATAAAGGCACTTGAAATTTTAAAATTAAAAGAAAATTCATATGATCAAAAAAACCCCACTCATATGAACTCAAACAGTAGATGCTGGTAAAATCTGCACCTTTCAAATATAAAAAGCAGCAGCAGCAACTTAACAGAATTGTAAAATAAAATGTTTGTTTGAACTTTAACCAGTAAGTCCTCAAATCAGTTTAAAAATTTTATTTTTTTAAAAAACACATAAAATATTTCTCTGTTTACAAACTGTGCAGTCCATTTGAAGAAACAAATTAATTCACCAAACTAAAAGCAATGACTCAACCATGTAGACACATACAGAGGGTTGGAAGAAAACAATACTCGGAAAAATCAACCGCTAATCCAAGCAGGCTACTCTGACAGTGGCCAAAAATAGACAGGAAACAGTGTAACTAAAGCAGTAATTCCCCAGAATACCCTTACAACCCACAGCAATTTGCAGTTTGAAGGTTTCTTCAGATGGAGGTGTTTACCTTTCTACTCAACAGTATCCCACGGGCTTTTTTACCTGTTATTGATCCTATCACATCTTTTCACGCACGTAAACTCTTAGCAACCATAACAGCCTGAAATTTTAGTCTTCTATTACTAAGAATTAAGTAATGGATAAGAGAATAAATTACTTTTTTAATAACAAATCTGAAGTTTTCACTTTCTGTTAAGATGTATCACTAGTCACCAAGGAAACTGCTAATGGTTTGTCCTCAAACAAAAGCAAATCCTCCCATGGGGATGAATCCTAGGACAAATACTTTGTTTCAAAATACCAAAAATACCAAATACACAATCTTCTACATAAGATACATGAGCTATTTCCTTCTCCTGCAGACTATTTTGGACAAGTCCTCTTAGCTCAAAAGGAAATATTCACTCAGACTGGCCAAAGCACTAAAGTCACACTGATTCATTTCCACTCCTGCTAATTCCTGGAATTTAAAAAATTAAATCAATTTTATATTTATGCCTAAATTGTTACCATTATCACAAATTATTATTAAATATGTTACTTTACCTCACAGACTTCTCTTTTTTTAATATTCCAAAACATTAATGCTTACACGATTTTTAAAGTAAAATATTGGTTCTAACTTTTCCAGTAGTTATATAACTGGTTTCAGACTTAACAGTTGCAATCCACACTGAAAGGATCACTGCTGTAAAAGAGCAGTTTAACAGGTGAATACATAACAATACTTCTCAAAATTAAAGTACATTTTAGCAGGTTACGCTATGTTTAATAGCCATTGTTAGAACACCAGGATATATATCACTTGACCATGAGGTGTATCTGGTAGTTTCTTACAAATACATTCAGATGTTACAACCTATTCAATGTTAGGAAAATACAAAACATTTATTCTGCTCAAAACATCACAAATATATCTAAAGATTATAAGAATTTCAAGAGAATGTGTAAAGATAATATTTCTAATTTATCCACATTTCTAATGGTAGATTGTTTAAAGAATACCTGTCATCACTGACAACTGTACCACATAATCCAATATCTGGAAAAAAGCTGAAACAACATATTTTACTTTCTTTAAATGGACTTGATGCAACTTACTAATTGTGATCATTGCTACATATATTACATTTACCTTGTATTTCCTGAGAGAAATATTATAAGGTAAATAGTGGTTTATAAAGAAGACCATTATTCCAATATCCACTAATTTTGAAGATGATTCAAACTTACTGTAAATTACTATCCAGAGTTTTTCTTACTCTTAACAGCTTTTGCATCTGCTTTTAACACAATATGGAGATAAACTGGGACACTTAACAGTAAGTTCTCATCTGAACACTTGCACAGTTTGGAAGGAGCTGATCCACTGTCTTTTCAAAGACAAAGAGTAATCTAAATATCAGTATACTGGTAAAAAGTGAAGTTCAGGGTTGTAAGCAGACACCTCTTTGCACATAAGAATAAAATAGGCTCCAAATGTAATGATTTTTTATTAATTTCATTTTTTCATAAGTACTTTAGAAAGTGACATGATGCTATCTTTTACTTCATTTAAACAAATCAGTTAAGACTGTGATGTATTCTATTTTTAAGAATATGGATTTTTAAGAATAAGATTACAAACAATCTTTTCTCAGTGTTTAATTTTTCCTGCGATAATCTCAAGGCTTCATTTCAATATTAATATGGCAAACAAGATCAGTTGTACAAATAAGATTAAAAAGCCCTTATGACTGACTTAATAGCTCAAATAATAAAGAGTAAAAAAAAACAGTTCAAGAGCCAGAGTGGAAAGGAGTAGGAGAACCATTACAGAAATATTTGTGCTTGGTAAACCACTTCTCACTCCACAAACAATCATTCACTCACACCAATGGACATTATTAAAAACCTGCCAGGTTTTTGCTCTGCCTTCAAAGTCATTAAAATACAAAAAGAAAAATGCTGCGAACAGAATCTGGGCACCATAAACACATAGATTAGGAAATACAAACAATCTCCCTCATTATATTTGGGTTTACTTCTCAGCATTTTTAAGGATATAACCATTGTTTTTGCAGCACTCTTGCAGGGTAGGCAAGTAGATTCTTTGGAAATGCAGACTAGAACCAAACATCTTAATGACTGCTCACAGTGATCTCAACCATGAGTAGATCACAGAAAAGGAACATCATGGAATCACAGAATCATTTAGGTTGGGAAAGACCTTGAAGATCATTGAGAACTATCATTAACTTGGCTCTGCCAAGGCCACCACTAAACCATGTCCCTAAGCATCATACCTATGGGTCTTTTAAATATGCCCAGGAATGGGGACTTAACTACTTCCCTGGGCAGCCTGCTCCTGCGATTAGTAATCCTTTCCTTGAAGAAATGTTTTCTAAAATTCCAAGGTAAACTTCCCCACTGGCACAACTTGAGGCAGTTTCCTGTTGTCCTGTTGCTTATTACTTCATGGGATTTATGTTCCAGACCCTTTACCAGCTTTGTTGCCCTTCTCTTGAAACGCTTCAGCAACTGAATGTCCTTCTCGCAGTGAGGGGCCAAAAATGAACACAGGATTTGAGGTGTGGTCTCACAAGTACCAAGTACAGGGGGACAATCACTTACCTAGTCCTGTTGGCCACACTACTGCTGATACAACCCAGGATGCCATCAGCCTTTTTGGCCACCTGGGCACACTGCTAGCTCATGTTCAGATGCTGTCCATGTCCTTTTCCGCCTAGCAGCTTTCCAGCTACTCCTTCTGGGGTTTCTGTGACCCAAGGGCACAACTCAGCCTTGTTGAATCTCATTCCATTGACCTCACACCATCAATCCAGCCTGCCAAGACCCCTCTGCAGAGCCTTTCTACCCTCCAGTAGAGCAACACCCCTGCCCAGTTTGTCATCTTCAAACTGACTTGAATCCCCTTGTACAGATCATCAAAAAAGACATAAAACAGGACTGGCCCCAATACTGAGCCAAGGAACACTACTTGTGACTGGCCTCCAGCTGGATTTAACTCCATTCATCACCACTCTTTGGGCCATACAGTTTTTAACCCAGAGAAGAAGAGTAGACCTATCTCAGTTTCACTCCAGAATTCTCTACCCAACCCTCGCTCCCTCCACCTATATCTCCCACTCCCACACAAGCAGCTCAGGGAAACAGAGAA